AGGCTGCAGAGAGGTTGGTTGGAATAACCAACTTTTAGTACTCTTCAGCTTGGATAAGGATCTACGCTGAAGATAGGTTGGCAAGAATAACCAACTTTGAGTACACTCCAGCCGAGATTAGGATCTAGGCTGAAGAGTGGTTGGCAGGAATAACCAACTTCGAGTACTCTTTAGCCGAGAAAAGGATCTAGGCTAAAGAGTGGTTGGCAGGAATAACCAACTTCGAGTACTCTTTAGCCAAGATAAGGATTTAGGCTAAAGAGAGGTTGGCTGGAAGATCCAACTTTGAGTACTCTTCAGCCGAGATAAGGATCTAGGCTGAAGAGAGGTTGGCTAGAAGATCCAACTTTGAGTACTCTTCAGCCGAGATAAGGATCTAGACTGAAAAGAGGTTGGCTGGAAAAACCAACTTTGAGTTCTCCTCAGCCGAGATAAGGATCTAAGCTAAAGAGAGGTTGGCTGGAATAACCAACTTTGAGTTCTCTCCAACTAAGATAAGGATCTAGGCTGAAGAGACTTGGCAGGTATGACCAAACAGATTACAAGGCTCCAAGACCGAGATAAGTATCTTGGCCAGAAAATGTTAAAAAATTCATACAAATTAGAGTTGAAAAGTAAATACAGGTATGAAATAAACCGAACAAAAAGACAGACAAAATGTTTTCAGAATAGATATCAAAAGAAGAAAAATACAAAATCAAGCAAAAAGATCATGCAGGTCTGCGTCCAGGTCAACTCGAGTTTCATCATTTCGTAGCCCAGTTCCAGCAGGAAGGTCGGTCACATCTTCAACCGTACTGGGCACCAGGGGCTCCACCCGAGCTGACTGTGCGGTTTGGAGACCAGAATCATTGGTAACAACCGGGGTGTTGTTGGGCTCTGGGGATGCCTCATCTTCCCCCCCAACTTGAAGAAATTTTTGCTGAATAGCATTGGCATGCTCCGCCATGTAGCTTGGGATAAAGTGGGGAGGAGGGTTCTGAAAGACCTTGATCTCTTGGCCATAACTGAGCTTCGCCATGGCTGTCTTCCACCCACATTTGAAAAATATATCCTTGGCAGCTTCGCACTGCAGGATGTAGGTGGCCTTCCCTTCCTTATAGCCGCAGTCTTCCGCATCGTCCGCGCTCTTCTTTAGCTCGGCAATCTCAGCATCTTTCTTTTTTTCTAGCTTGGCCAGCTCGCGCAAATACTTGTCTTTTCGCTCGGCCAGAGCCTTCTTCTTATCTGCCTCAGCCGAGTTAACCAGACCAGTGAGCCGGGAAACTTCAGATTCAAACTCAGCCATTTTCTCCCTGGATTCTTCTAGCTCGGCCGTCTTAGCGTTGGCCTCTGCCACGGCCAGCTGTGTGGTCTTACACAGCTTCAACACGCGCTTGTGAGTGACATGATTCTTCTGTATGGCCTGCAAACGAAGAGATAACAATTATGGTTAAAACCGTACAAACAAATGTACAAATCAGAAAGACAAGAAGAGAAACTTACCAGCACCATCGACTTTGTTGCCGAGAGGATGGCCTTCAGCTCGGTCAGATGGTCGTGATGCTCCATGTCGACTGGCAAGCACACACTCTTGGCGAGGTTGAAGGCGAGCGAATGGTCTTTTTCAGCGACCACTAAATCCGTGTTTGTTATGGCACGGTTCTTGTAGGTCACTTTTGGTTCCCACTTTGAAAGGCTAGCCCGGTCAGAACGCGCGGGTTCTGGGTTTGGTTGTGTAGACTGAGGGAGCACGGTATCATCTTCATCGACGAGATGTGGCCCGGTCGAAGAGGTGCGAGCGCGCTTACTGGGTCGAGATGACGAGGCTTGGGCTGTTGGAAGGCCTACCACGGCCTCATGTGTTTGTCCGGCCTGTGGTACCTCGGTTTGGTCCCCGACAGCTGGGGCAGTTGTTTCGGTAATGAGTGCTCTGACTGCTCTTTTCTTAGCCATCTCTTGTTCCTCTGTTAGTGGGATTAGCCTGATTTGAGGAAGAGTGAGATCTGGTTCAGGGGATGGTTCAAGGAGAAAGTCGGTTACCCTGGTCTTCCTCCTTCTATTGTATCTGTAGGTCGGCTCGAAGTTAAGTAGCTCGGCCCAGCCTCGATCGCGGTATCGAAACGTGGTGCGGAGAGCGTCCAAGTTGGGGTATTGGTACTGTGACTTTAGTTGGTTTAAATCTGCATAAGGAAAAAGGCAAACGGCGAGCATGGTGATAAACTTATAAACAACAAGGGTAAAAAAAATGTACAAATTGAGCCGAGGTATTCATACCGGCTATTCCTTTATTCCAGTTAATATGGTAGCCCGGTATTTGAGCTTCCTGGTCTTCGAAGTTGCCTGAGACCCAGAAAAATTCATCGTCATTTACGTCTTTGTCCGGTGTGTTTTTGATTATTTTCTCTCGGCGTCTTCTTATTCTTAAATAGTATACCCAGTCATCTTCATTCTGGCCAAGTAAATATTAGTGAAATAGCTCGGCTAAACCGAGGTTGAGGCCAAGCCGACGATTTAGCTCGGCGATGCCATTTATTATTCTGCAAGAATTGGTGCTAAGTTGGGTTGGGCATATTCTAGTCTGCCTTAGGAATTCGCATAATAGTGGCTGAACAGGGAATCAGAGTCTGACCTCTACAATGGATATGACGGTGAAGGAAACGAAGCCCGGTTTTCCCCATGGGGTTGTATCGAGCTCGGCTAGTGAAAGGTGGACGTCATCAGGGACGTTTTAGTCCTTGCAGAATTTGGCAATGGCCCCTGGTGAGTTTACTAGGAGCCGGTATTTACCCATTTATAACTTAAATTGTGTATAACTTAGCCCGGAGTCCTAGTTCGGTGTTGAGATGACGTTGATTATCTCGGTTGAGCGTGCAAAGGTGTGCCTGGCCAACCTAGTCAAAGTCTGCAAAGTGAAGATGAAAAGTTTTATGCCCAGGTAACTAAACCGGGCTTAAAAAGAAGGAAAAATAAAAACTCTAGAACGGCTAAAACGGTTTGAAACGCTTAGCTCGATCATTACGTGAGTTTTTAGTCCGGTTAACAAGCATTGGGGATCTTAGCCCGGTTGTTAGGTAAGGTGTGCTTGTTCGATCGAGTGTGCGGTTATCACAAACTGGCTCCTAGTTCGGTCATGGTGCTATTCTCGATCGGAAGGATCGCATTCCAAATTCATTGAAGATTCAACCAAGGTGGTTATTGGTTGGGGGTCTAGTTTTTGAGTTTTCGTGGTACCTACCCATTTGAGCAAAACTACAGAGTGTGTTTTGGAAAATATATGTGTATATACATCTATATTATACATATTCACGAAATAAACAGAAAAAGTGAGAGATTGAGTCACTTACAGTCTAAAAGAAGAGGATGAAGTTCCAAACGGTGAAGATGCCAGACAGGAGCACAAGTTATTGCAGGTGCTGTGATTGAGAAATGAAGGCTTAGAAGGCAAGAGAAAGAAGATGAATAGTGAAATGTTTTGATTTGAAAAAATAGGGTTTTTGTATAAAACCTAGATTTGGACGGGACTGTTCAAAATTCACGAGGTACGAAGAAATTTCATAATGACTAATAAGCAATCAAATTTATCTTTGAGAAGAAATCATTATGAGAAATTATCAAATTTATCTTTGACAAGAATTGATCCGTCAACCTCTCAATTAGAATTATACAAATTAATTTCATTGTACATGAATAAAAATAATTTTTAATAATGTTGAGTGTATAGAAAAGTATTAAAAAAAAAATAAAATTGGACGTGGTCCCTATCAGCTTAGAATGAATTTAGATTACATGATAATTTATTTTGCTATAATTTTTGTGATTTTTTTTAATATACTATTGAGGGAATGAATCCAACTTTAATAATTGTGGGAGATTATTGAGGGAATGAATCCAACTTTAATAATTGTGTAGGATTCACCCTATCCCTTATCTAATTTCATGCTGAACAAGTACAAGATACGATTGAATAGGAAAATAAATTTAACTCATTTAGACATACCTTTATTTGAAAGGTCAGGTGGTTTCTTGAGATTTTCATTCATAAATTTTATTTCATGCTTTTGTATTCCATTAAGTTTCATGATTTTTTTTAACAGTTTGGATTATCTCAAATTGATCATATGCACATAAAACAAGAAAGTAACCAATAAGAATAAATAGAAGAATATAAGTAATTCTAAACAATGTCAAGAAAGAAATGAAAGCTGAAAATATAGTTAATGATACTGGTGTCTTAGTTGATTTGAAATCTTGATTGGAATTGTGTAATTTTTACCATCTTAGGCCCCGTTTGTTTTGGGAAATAGAATGGAAGAGATTGATAGTAAGGGGATTAATAGTGAGGGGATTGATAGTGAGGAATTGTTAAATTATTTTTATATAAAATAATAAAACAAATAAAAAAATATAAAAAAATATTAGACATTATGTTTAAAAAAAAATTCTCAATATATAAAAAATAAAAAAATTTCTAATCCCTTCACTATTTTTCTAATACCATCTCTACATTCTCCTTACCAATCCCCCTTCCTCCTCTTTACTAATACCAAGGGATTACTAATCCCCTCCCTATCTCTCAAAACAAACACTCCATTCTCAATCTCCTCCTCACTATCAAACCCAATCCCCTCTCCATAACCCTACGGGGCCTTAGTCTCCTAGCTACCTAAGTATTTTATGTTTATCGTTTGACGTTGTTGCCTGTACTCGAATAATTCTAAATTTTATTTATTTTTGAACTGACGGTTATGTTTTCTAGAGTTGTACTTATTATTTAAGATAAAAATTTAATTAATACGAATTTATATTCATCTCCTTTATTTATTTTTATTCTTGATGTATCAGAATTTGGAGTGTCACATAACCGGTCAGTTCCCTAGATCCATCCTTAATTGCGATGGATTTACGGAAGTCTTTGGTGATATGGATTTACTAAATTTCTCAAATTATTTTTATTAATTTCGAAACAAAAATGATTTGGCTATGGTATATTGGTAGTAGGCTGCAAATTGCCAGTGATAATGGTGGATGGATGGATAATGGTGGATGGATGGCCATCAGGGCTTCAGGGTGAGAAAGAAATAAGGGTAAATTACACTCGCCTTTTCTGAAGTTTTTGACAAATACAATAACTTTTCCTATAATTTGAATAATTGCATAAATCTCTCCAGTTTTAACTAACATTGTCAAGATTCCTCTTATTTTGTAACTTCTGTTAGCACAAGTAACAGAACCTGCTAATATCATTAAAGATAATCCAAAAAATGCCAGTAATGCTTTTAGGGCTCTTCATCTTCATAACCAGGCACAACACATAACTGAAAGTAAATAAAACACAATACAGAGCTGCACAATCAAGCACAACATATGCTACCATTCACATTAACATTCACATTAAGTATTTATAAAATAAAAAAAACAATTACTAACAAAAACAAACAAAAAAGCTTGTGCAAAAATTAGTATGTACTTTCAATTTCTTCAATTTTAGTTCTAGGGTTTTGAAGCTCCCATCCCAGTTAGGGTTTTCAGAGAGAGAGAGAAATGGTTAGCCCCTAATCGAGAACTGGAGAGAGCGTTCCTTGCGATTATTGCAATGACCAGATTGCGGTTCTCTACTGCGGAGCAGACTCCGCCAAGCGTTGCTTGTTCTACGACCAACATGTCCACCCCGCCAACACTCTCTCTCGTAAGCATTTTCGATCTCAGATCTGTGACAGCTGTGGCTCCGAACCCGACTCCGTTCGCTGCGCTACCAATAACCTCCTCCTCTGCAACGACCACGACTGGGACGCCCACGGCAACTGCTCCGTCTCCGCCTCACACGATCGCAACCCTATCGAGGGTCTCTCAGGATCTCCCTTTGCTCTCGAGCTCGCTTTAGTTTGGGGTGTTGATTTGGAGGATAAGAAACCTCAATCGCAATTGCAATTGCAATTGCCATTGCCTGTGCAATCGACTCAAAATTGGAGTTTTCATGATTCAAGTGGAATGAATTTCGATTCATGGATGTATAAATTTGCTGTGGGTGTTATGTTGCTGCAAGATTTGATGGTTCCAAGTGGGAATAATGCAATGATGTATTCGGAGATAGGTTCAAAGAGGCAGAGTCCGAGCTGTGGGAAGCAAAATCAAGTCTTGTTGAGGCAGTTGATGGAGCTATTTAAGAGGGAGGTAGTGGGAGTGGATGATAATAATGGCAACACCAGTAGCAGTAATGGTGGTAGTGGTGAGAATTTAGTTCCGAATATGCAGAATAAGAGTGGTTGACAGCAGGCGAATGTGGAAGGTGCTGATCTGGGATGTGGAGGAGATGAGGTTGTAGATCCTGTGAATCAGTCATTGCAACAACAACATGAAACGCCTTTTACTTCTTAGAAAATCGACTGTCTTACAAACTTGAGAGTGAATTTAGGCCATGTTTGTTTGGGTGGACTGGATTAGTATTTTCATGATTAATAGTCTTAGGAATACGAATTCGTTGGATTATGTATTCTATCTTAACAAATAATCAAGTTTAAAATAATTAGTCCCTACTTCAATTGTTTAACCAAATATCGGATTAATAATTTTATTGGATTATTAGTCCAATCTTAAGCTCATGTCCACCCAAACAAACATGTCCTTAGGGATTTAGGCCATAAGGGGTATTATCGTTTTTCCGTCCTTAAAAGTAAGAGTAATAAGGTCATTTGGTATATGTAACAAACGTTGTTTATGCCAATTTGACGGAATAGGAGAATATTGACAATGTCAATTAAAGTAAAAGAGATTTATATAATTATTTAAATCATAGAGGATGTTCTTGTATTTGTCAGAAACCCTAAGGGAGGTGAGTGTAATTTACCAAAGAAATAATGAAGGAAGAGATGCAATTGGGTTTAAGAGAGAAATACAGATCATAAACAGAAATCAATTGAGTTAAACTATGGTTAAACTACAACTCTAAAATAGGATGTCCCACTTTAGATAGCTCTAAGCAGCAAAAAATTAGATAGACCATCCTATTTTTTAAATATTTTTGAGTTTAAAAATTAAGTACTTTGGTCAAAAAAAAATTAAAAAATCACTATAAATTATTATATTATTTTTTTTAACCAAACTTTTTATGAAAAATTAAAAAATTATTAAAAAATAATATATTTCGAAATGAGACCTAAATGGCTGACCCGGCCAAAACCCTAACCCAACCAACCACATTGCTCTGGCTGTAGTGTAGCCCCAACTCCACTCATCTCTTTCCTAGCTCCGACCACCAATCCAATCAAATGTGAGTGATTAATTCTTTTGTAGTTTCATCGATCAATCAAATCCAAAGAGCTGACCACCTGTGTTATTTCCCCTCACAATTCACAGCTATGAGTGGTTTCTGTTTTTTTCTTCTCCTCCTACTGTAACCCTATAACTACTTCTTGTCTTTGCTTTGCAGGCTCATCTTTTTCATGGCCTTTACGATTCCTTTCTTTACTTTTTGTATGCCTGTTACTGTTGCAAAACCTTTGCTTTATTCTCTTTACTATTTCAACTTTTTCCTTTTCTTCTTCTTTTTCATCTTATTCAAGTTGTTATTTTTACATTGTGTTTAATTGGAAGATTTAGGAAGAAATTTTTTTTAAAAAAAGAGAAAATATGTGTAAAATTAAGTAAAATAGAGATATATTTTATTAACATTTCACCTATCATTTCTCTTTTTCTTTTCCAGTCTATTTTCAAATTTCTCAATTAAACACAGTGTTAAGGATTTCATAGTTTATGAACTAAACAATTTGATTTTCTCATAATAGGTAGTGGTTTGAATCTTGTAAACCCAAAGCTTAGAGCATCCTCATTGGATCTCCTAAATTCATTCCTTATATATTTTAGGGAGTCTTTCTTCATAAAATCAACCTCATCAGCTCCTCTAAAGCAATTCCCTATTATAAGAACTGTTACAGTTGCTCCCCAAATATGAACAATTGTTCACCCCTCAAAAATATAAAATTATTTTTTTATTAAACCATCATTGGTTTTTGAGCATCTCTATCCCCCAAAATATAAAATATAAAATAATGAAAAATAATATTTTATTATAATAAAAAAGAATAGGAAATTTATTAGGAGAAGTAGATGAAAAAATGATTTCTAAAATAATAAATAAATTTTTTAATAATATTTTTGAATAAAATTTTATGATGTATTTGGTTAGAGAATTTAAGGAGGAATTTGAAAAGAGAAATGGAAAAGATAGCTGAAATGTGAATAAAACATATTTATATTTCACATAATTTCACATACTTTTTTTTTTTAAATCTCTCTCTAAATTCCCTAACCAAACACAGCGTTAGATAATCTGCTGAGGAGGCTCTTAAACCTCTTTTCATTCTCTCACCGGCATTTCAATGGGAATCGCGATGCTTTTCCTCTCTGTCCCCGTCCTTTTGTATCCTCTATGTTAAATTGTAGTCTTGGATCACTTTTCTAAGATTTTCCTACATTATTCTAGAAGAAGAAGAAGAATAATCAACTTTGTTCCTTTATTAATTCGTTCTCAGATCAGTTTGTTTTTTGTGGGTGTTTTTCTTTCATCACAGAGATGAAAAGGGTTCCTGGCACAGATGAGATGAGGAAAATTGACAAAAGTGGGACTAATTGAGGGTCTTAGGTGTCCTGCCAATAAATAAATTAAAAAAAAAAAATTACAATTAAGGTTTCGATGTTGAAAGTAATGGCCAACTTAATTTTGGAGTGTATTTAGAGTCACACCATTTTATTATTATTTAATGCGTAAATTACACTTTACTTTTTTTTTTTTTTTTGACCCTTTTTTTTATTTTACCTCTTAAATTTTATTTTTTTCCATTTTTATTTTTTAAAAAAATTAACTTATGTCTAAAAATAGATAAAAAAAATGATACGTTGACAATCATGTACTATAAAAATATTATATATAACTTACGTATCTAATACTAATTGAATCTTTAATACAATAATATACTTTTTATATTATGTGAGAATTTTTTTAACAGAACTATGTCACAGTTAACGTGATATTTTTTTGAGCAATGGTAGAGGGCCCAAATTCTGTGGCTCAAATATGGCTCAAATGGCCAAAACGACGTCGTTTTGAGTACAAAACAACATCAAAATGGCCAAAACGATGTCGTTTTGGCCATTTGAGCCACATTTGAGCCACAGAATTTGGGCCCTCTACCATTGCTCAAAAAAATATCACGTTAACTGTGACATAGTTCTGTTAAAAAAATTCTCACATAATATAAAAAGTATATTATTGTATTAAAGATTCAATTAGTATTAGATACGTAAGTTATATATAATATTTTTATAGTACATGATTGTCAACGTATCATTTTTTTTATCTATTTTTAGACATAAGTTAATTTTTTTAAAAAGAGAGAGAGAGAAATGGTTAGCCCCTAATCGAGAACTGGAGAGAGCGTTCCTTGCGATTATTGCAATGACCAGATTGCGGTTCTCTACTGCGGAGCAGACTCCGCCAAGCGTTGCTTGTTCTACGACCAACATGTCCACCCCGCCAACACTCTCTCTCGTAAGCATTTTCGATCTCAGATCTGTGACAGCTGTGGCTCCGAACCCGACTCCGTTCGCTGCGCTACCAATAACCTCCTCCTCTGCAACGACCACGACTGGGACGCCCACGGCAACTGCTCCGTCTCCGCCTCACACGATCGCAACCCTATCGAGGGTCTCTCAGGATCTCCCTTTGCTCTCGAGCTCGCTTTAGTTTGGGGTGTTGATTTGGAGGATAAGAAACCTCAATCGCAATTGCAATTACAATTGCCATTGCCTGTGCAATCGACTCCAAATTGGAGTTTTCATGATTCAAGTGGAATGAATTTCGATTCATGGATGTATAAATTTGCTGTGGGTGTTATGTTGCTGCAAGATTTGATGGTTCCAAGTGGGAATAATGCAATGATGTATTCGGAGATAGGTTCAAAGAGGCAGAGTCCGAGCTGTGGGAAGCAAAATCAAGTCTTGTTGAGGCAGTTGATGGAGCTATTTAAGAGGGAGGTAGTGGGAGTGGATGATAATAATGGCAACACCAGTAGCAGTAATGGTGGTAGTGGTGAGAATTTAGTTCCGAATATGCAGAATAAGAGTGGTTGACAGCAGGCGAATGTGGAAGGTGCTGATCTGGGATGTGGAGGAGATGAGGTTGTAGATCCTGTGAATCAGTCATTGCAACAACAACATGAAACGCCTTTTACTTCTTAGAAAATCGACTGTCTTACAAACTTGAGAGTGAATTTAGGCCATGTTTGTTTGGGTGGACTGGATTAGTATTTTCATGATTAATAGTCTTAGGAATACGAATTCGTTGGATTATGTATTCTATCTTAACAAATAATCAAGTTTAAAATAATTAGTCCCTACTTCAATTGTTTAACCAAATATCGGATTAATAATTTTATTGGATTATTAGTCCAATCTTAAGCTCATGTCCACCCAAACAAACATGTCCTTAGGGATTTAGGCCATAAGGGGTATTATCGTTTTTCCGTCCTTAAAAGTAAGAGTAATAAGGTCATTTGGTATATGTAACAAACGTTGTTTATGCCAATTTGACGGAATAGGAGAATATTGACAATGTCAATTAAAGTAAAAGAGATTTATATAATTATTTAAATCATAGAGGATGTTCTTGTATTTATCAGAAACCTCAAGGGAGGTGAGTGTAATTTACCCAAGAAATAATGAAGGAAGAGATGCAATTGGGTTTAAGATCGAGAAATACAGATCATAAACAGAAATCAATTGAGTTAAACTATGGTTAAACTACAGCTCTAAAATAGGATGTCCCACTTTAGGTAGCTCTAAGCAGCAAAAAATTAGATGGACCATCCTATTTTTTAAATATTTTTGAGTTTAAAAATTAAGTATTTTAGTTAAAAAAATTAAAAAATCACTATAAATTATCACATCATTTTTTTTTTATAAATTTTTTTTATAAAAAATTAAAATATTATTAAAAAATAATATATTTCGAAACAAGACCTAAATGGCTAACCGGCCAAAACCCTAACCCAACCAACCACATTGCTCTGGCTGTAGTGTAGCCCCAACTCCACTCATCTCTTTCCTAGCTCCGGCCACCAATCCAATCAAATGTGAGTGATTAATTCTTTTGTAGTTTCATCGATCAATCAATCCTAAGAGCTGACCTTCTCTGTTATTTTCCCTCACATTTCACAGCTATGAGTGGTTTCTTTTTTTTCTCCTCCTACTGTAACCCTATAACTACTTCTTGT